GGGCTTGTGGGTGTGCATGTAGGCCCCAGCCCATGGACTATTACATACTTTAATATAAGGAAAAGAGAAACTTTTTGCAACAACTCACAACTCATTCATAAAACGCTTCCATTGGACTAACTTTTCAAAAAATGTGATTAACGGAGCTCATTTTTATCGTAGCGTCCAGCAAGCCTTTTTGACATTGTATTTGTTTAGTTTAGTATTTTGTAAGTGTAATTGATGCTATTATATAATATAATTTTCTCTGTACAGCAGGTGTGTATGCAATATACAATAACTGAGTTGGGTTAGTGGAGAAGGTTAAATACGAAACCCAATATTACTTTTGTAATAAATAAACATGCTTTAAAAGAACACCAAAGAAACAACTGATATATAACTAACTGATTTGATTTATAGTGTAAATAAAAAGGTAACAATGATTGTTTTATTCTAAACTGTAAACACAGTTAAGTGTGGCATTTTGTTTTCATCTTTGATACCCAGAAAAGAGACAGTATAATTAAAAAAACATCACTAGTTCATTTCAAACGTTTAGGTGCAATATTCGCTGCTGCTGTTCAAATATAAATAAATAAAATAATGAAGGACAAAGTTGATTTTGACCTGACCTTTAGCACTAAAAGTTGACCTGCAAATAAAAAAAATAACATCAGAAATGAATTCTACACTCAAGAAAACCCTTAAAAAGAGGTATAACACACTGTAGTAGGACAGGTGGGTCAAAATTTACATTTTCAAAATGTCGTTTGGTGGCCATCTTGGATTATGCAAATTAGCGGAGTTGCCCAATGTTGCAATTGTGGCAACCAAGCTAACATTGTTCTAGGGTCCCATATGAATGTAAATTAATAAAAAAATACATCATAGGAAACAACATCTTTAGGTTCAAGAAATGACAAATCGACTATACTTGTGATTTCAATTAGTGCATTGAATTGTGGGAAAATCAATGTTTATCAACACAAATGTCGCATATGTCAGCGCGACGACTACCACGTTTTAACTATCGTCTGTCTGGGTGATTATTCGACATAAAGTAGTAACATTGTTTCAACAACCATGACAGGCTAATTTTAGCATGAGAAGACAGCGAAAGTCACAGCATAATTGAACTTGAGAATTCACTGTTTGTTGTAGCCAGGGTCGTTAGAATGTGAGGGGTTGTCTTAAACAATATGAGAATAATATAATTAACAGAATTGTCAAAACAATACTATATGTTTATTAAATTTCAAAGGCGTTGAAAGGTAATAGTATAAATACGCTTTTAGACAATAATAACGATTATTTCCTTGAAAATCACGCTGTAGTAAACAGCTCCAGCCAAGATCCGGTAAAAACGCGTTTTCTCAAACTTACAGATCGATTATGTCGCGGCCAAATAGTTGTATATGACTATGAATATCACAGCAGTGATTCTATATAGTAGTTATGACAAGAAATAGTGTACGAATTGAAATTTTATCGGATGAACGTCAAAAAAACGAACTGGAAAAAGTGAAGCGCTACTAGCTTTAATAATTAACTGATGTCAATCAATGTCACGTGACATTGACCGCTGGAACAAGTTGCGTCACCTAATCTCTAAAAACATTTTTACAGTTCC